ACCCGTGGAGACAGAGCTCTCACCTCCATGTTCATCGCTGCTCACGTCTGTCGAGGATCCGTCATCACTTGCACGGCTACCTGCACTATCTTCGCGTTGTATTTGCCGCTTACGAGGTGCTGCTACGCAACGCATAAAGCGAGCACTATTTCGAAGCACGTTAAAAACAGTGTTCCAACAGCAACTCATCTCGCTTGAGTCTTGGCTTGCGTGTCTTCTTATCACCTTTGTTCTACTCATGCAAAGCATTCTCGTTAGCCTGCTCTTCTTGCTGTGAAGCGAAGTGCCCCCTCATGTGCATAGTCTTCATCTGACCAGCTGCTATGATGCTCCACTATAACCTGAAAGAGTGTATTAAGAACAAAGCAGCTCGTTATCATATCCAACCATTGGAATACGTACAATAGTGTGCAGAGAGGCGTATAGTGTGACGTCTGGTCTGATTGTGGTTGGCCAATGGGTTTGAAGGGCGTTCGCGTTACGCGCAGTTGTGCCTCCTTCGAGCTCAACGAAAGCGCGGTGAACCCGCTCCCAAAACGTTGTCATCGACTTGTCAGTACCAATGGCTTGGCCCTCCGTGATGTTTACCTGTGCCTGGAACAAGTGGTTCTCTTCGTCCCGCTCGCATCCTTTAGCTTTCGACATCGCTGCCGTTGTTGAGGCTGGGAGACTGGGGAGGGGGAGGGAGACCGTGTAGTAGCAATGCAAAACGGGGTGTTTTTCACTACGGAACAGCAATAGTGGAAACCTGCAACGTAATCAATTTACTGCAGAGCTACTTTTTATCACTATCACTACGGCGGTAAACCCACAAAAATGCAGCTAGTGCATTGAATATCCAGTAAACCATCCATTGCACTACCGGTGCAGATGCCCTTAGTATAGGGACACCCGTTGGTATTTAGATAAAATGAAACGCCAGTGACAGCGCTCTGCGCTCGCCCCAGCAATCAACCATAGAATTACTGCGCCCGATACGGTTGCTATCACTACGGAACAATATGCTCATGTTACTTGATAACTGCATTATCCCATTATATAGTAACAAGAAAGCTATCTCTTCGAACTGCTCAGCGCCCACGAAAGGCTCATAGAATGCAGCACAGCGATCAAAAAATGAACTTCACTTGGTCGGGAGGATCGTGTTTATGGATTCATCAGCGGGTTGACAATTGGGAGCCAGAGGTGGCGGAGCGAATAGATTAGTTTTCTGAGAAGACGGACAATGTTGATCGCCGGAAAGCCTAAAAGAATAAGGCTAAGCAAACTGTCTGGAAATCAAATGAATTTGGATCACATTATTTGCAGCGCATACTACAGACCTGGGCTTAATCTACACTCAGAGACGGACCAATGAGCTGGCAGGACGTCCCAACATTATAACGCGGCAGTTCGGCTGAGGCTTAGCAGATGTCTCTCTAGAATAAAACGTTAGTCTAGTAACGGAAATAATGAGCTAAATATTATCTTCGTTCTGATTGGTTAGTCCCAAACACTGCGGTTTGATTAATGACCAGTATCTTTTCGGACAGGAGGAAGTAGCTAACACTTCGTCGACGCATTTGGTGATGAATGTGCAGTTTGGAATGA